GCCACTGGGATAAATAATACACTTATAAACACTATCTTCTTCTTAAAAACTTAATAAATTTTAAAAATATTTATCAGTGTGCATTTTATTTCTAGTTGCATATTAATATTTAAAAATTTCAAACAGTGCTTAACAGCACAAAAAATAGAAGCAAAATGAAACTTCTAAATGCCCTCTCAGGGAATTTTTAAAAATATTAACAAAATCAGCCACATACACACATACACACACAAATGTTAACAATAATCTGAAGTTTGAGAAACATTGCTCATTAGAAAATTCTGGGAGGATTGAAATGTTTTATACTGTACTAAAAATAGCTACTGAGCTTTAAAGGTGACTAGTCAAACAAAGGACTAAATGTTTAATCTGATCTTGTTTTCATTCATTTAATTTTAAATGCAATGCAGAGTCACCATTTATATAGAGAAAGGTAGAACTATAGACAACAGAATTAATTATAAACCAGAACTGGAACATGAACAAGCAGGTACTCAGAATACTCAGGAAGTCTTTGGACTGGAACCCTAAACCTTCCCATGCAGGATTACTTCACTCAATGTTGCATTTTACCTCTGTGCTATAGTTTGGCCTTCAACATTTTCTATTTTAGAGGTTTGCCTTTCCGTATAAAGGTACAGTTTTTCTTAAATTTCAGTGAAATTTCTCTTATCCGATCTCACTTTCTCATTTTAGTTTTACTTATTAGGTGTTCTATTTTTGAAAATTACACTTATGGTCACAACATTTTATACATTTCACTTGTTACCATAATCACCTGATATGTTTGTCTATATTATGTGAGTTTATTATGGTATCTCCAGTTTACCTCTGTAAGACATATTGAATTTTCAGAAATATCTAATGGGTTCATAGCCATTACTGCCAACTCTGTAACTCTAAGATACTCTAAAACATGAGAAGTTTTCTCAGGTCTCCCGCCTTAGCCGAAGCTTGTTTTTTGTCGTTGTTGTTTGATCTCTTTTATAGATATTCTATTATTTGAGGCATATCTCTGAGAAATCTCTGAATGTTACAGTGCTTTGTTTTGTTTGTTTTTGAGAACTAGAGCTCTAGTGTATTTGTTTTTATCATATGGCCACTCACACTTTTTTTTCTCTTTTCCTGTTTTTTTATTTTATTTTTAATTTCATTTACTTTTATACATTAATTATTTAAAATACATTGTTTTTATTTAAAAATAGAATATTTCATTAAAGTATTCTACCAAAATTACTTGGATATTCTGATATATTTCTCATTTTAATTTTCATTTGTTTATGTTTAACCATACAGCATTCATTTTAGGAGTGGAGATTCATGTATAAAAAAATCAGAATTCAGGGGCTAGTAGATAGCATAATAGTTATGTTGCTGAACCTGGACGCTTAAAACTCACTCTGGGAACATGAGTGTGCATGCTCAAAATCCTGAGAGGAGAAAGAGAAGGGATTGCAGTGTGATCATCCCCACTGGGATGGTGATTTCTAACTTTCTGTCTCTGTCTCTTTCTGTTTCTCCTGCAAGCGCATGTGCCCTATAGCAAAAATCTCTCTAGAAAAAAACAAAAATTCAGAACTTATATTTTTTAAGACTAGTTAATTGGTTTTCAAACTTTCAGTGTTTTTAATATTTTCCTATATTTCATCTAAAAAAGCACATCAAGCATATCATGCACTCTCTTCTCTCGTTTTTCCACTAGTTACATAGGTATGTACTATCTTCCCCTCATCTTATTGTATAAGTTACAAAAATAACTTTTTAAAAATGTACATTCTGGGGACCAGCAGGTGGCGTGGTGCTTAAGGTGCTGGACACTCCCACATGGCTTAACACAGTTTGAGTCCTGGACCTGGCAGCTTAATTTCTCACTCTTTCTCTCTCTCTGTCTCTCTCTGGTCAAATTAAAATAAATGAACGAATAAATAAAATTAAATAAATAATTATATTTTTAAAAATGTACATTCTGTTAAACTGTTGAGCAAAAAGACAATGGAGCTCTGGGTTCATGCTCTTGTTAAACCCACAGCAGTCAAACTCTGTGATTCATCTACGTACATTTCCTCAAATAATCTCCTTTGAAAAATATTTAGCTACTGAATTATTCATATTTTGTAAATAAGCTCAAGTTAAAAACTGGTCCAAATGAGGAAAGGGGGCTCACAGCTTTTCTTTGCCATTTAGGTAATTAGCATGCATGGCAGGCATTCCACATATTTTTACAAATCTTGCCATTGATGTGTTTCCTTTCTTTTTAAATTTTTTTTGGTTTATATGGTTTTGTTTTGTTTTTGTTTTGTTTCTGTTTTTCTTTGTGCCATAGAGCACATGTACTTGCCAGAGAGAGTCAGAGAGAGACAGGGAGATGGATAGTGAGAAATCACCCTCCCCGGGGGGATGGCCACACTGAAATCCCTTCTCCTCCATTGTCCTCCTGGAATTTCAGGTAAGTACACATACATACTTAGGATGATTTTCAAGCCACCAGGTCTGGGACTCTAACAGTTGTCAGTTACGTGGAAGTCCAGCATCTTAACTACCATGCCACCTACTAGCCCTGAAGTGTTTCCCTTCTTCTAGTAATTTTATTTATACAATTACTTTTACTCTCATTCATAGACTAATTTAAATGATCTGGGTTTTGCTTGAAAACCATGGATGATATTAAATATTTAAATCACATATTTATTAATATTCAGAATTCATCAAATTTATGTAAAACATGCCACTAAGGATAGACAACTGTCTTCTGTTATGAGCATATCCTTTCTGTGTCTTCTGTGTTTAAATTTCACATTCCTTATGATGTTCAGTTCGAAATTCTGTTTTAATATTTCCTTTTTGGATAATTACGTTCTATGAACTAATTACTAAAAGAAAAAAATCCATTTTTGTAAAACAGCTCTTGTCTTGTTCATTTCTCCATCATTCACTCCTTCCTCCAGCTAATATTAGGAGTTATATTGTAAATTTTTACAGCTTTTGTTTTATTTATTTAATTTATTTTTGTTTTCTAGAAGGCATATTCACTCACCAGAGAGAAACAGAACAGAGAGAGAAAGAAAGTGGGAAATCAAGAAAACACCCCCCATGAGGAATGGTCACATGGCATTTCCTTCTCCTTCTTCATTCATTCCTTTCGAAATGTTGGGCAAGCATTGCATATGCACTCAGTGTGTTTTTCAAGCTGCCCGGCCTGGGACTCAGACTGTGCAGTAGGCCATGTAGGATTCAGTCACCCTAACCATCAAACCAATGGCTATCCTATTTGTTTTATTTACGGAATAAGTTTTGGTTAAATCTAATATACAATGCTTGATGAATGAATATGGAACTATGACTAACCCATAAATATGTTGAAGAAGCTCCTTAAAGTTTATAAAACATTATTCTATCATCATTGATTATTACAGTTCAGCTATTTGGCTGGGATAAATTAAGATTAGTTAAATTTCACACAACAATAACTTCCTTATCAATGGCATGGCTATTAAAATATGTGGAAGTAACTTAGTATACACTGTTGTACAAACCTCGGATTGTCAAGCAACCATTGTGAGGACAAGTTCAGTGAATTAAGTGGAATATCTTAACTCTGAAATGTGCTTGTTTCAGTACAATGTTGGTACACTTTTGTGACCTCAGTTATTTCTATACTCATTTTGGTGAAATGTTTTCAACATTCTGATTTTCTTCACTTCCTCTGTAATTTTAGACTAATATTTGACCTGGTTAAGTTTTATGAGATAGTTTCAGACTCTACATTAGTTGAAAAACTAATGGTTCACAGAAAATCAGATACATTTTTCATTTCTGCATTTCAAATGTCTGCATCATGGAAATGAAGATAAAGAGAAACCAAGCTATTATTTTAGTGACAAAGGTAAGTTTAGATTCATTAATATATTAATTTATTCAAGATATCTGTGTTTATCAAAGGTCTACATTTTGCCAGGCACTTGGGATAGAGTAGTGAACTAATGAGTGATCACATTGCAATAACAGGGATGGTGGTTTTAGAGAGTGAATACAAGAATTGTGTGTGAGTGTGTGTGTGAGAGTATTCACTTTTTTGTACTCAAAAGTGAGTATTCGCAAAGGGGAATTAATTTTTAAATATATTCTTTAGGGATGAGCTTACTGGAAAAAGTATGATGAAATAAAACCTAAATAACATGAAGGAGTAAGCAATGAAGAGATATGGTGACATTCTAGCCAACAGAGAGAGCTAGTTCAAAGACAATGATGAGAGGGACCAGCAGTTAGTGTAATGGCTATGTCGCTGGACTCCCATGTAGTCAACAGCGGTTCGTGTGCCACACCTGGTGCCTTAAAACTCACGCCGGGTGCGTGTGCTTGCGTGCCCAAGATCCCGAGAGGAGAATGGAGGAGAAGGGATTGCAGCGTGGCCATCCCCCCTGGGGGGTGATTTCTCGCTTTCTGTCTCTCTGTCTCTCTCTGTCTGTCAGGCGAGCACATGTGCCCTATAGCAAAAACCTCTAAAAAAATAATAAAGGAAAAAAAAAAGACAATGATGTGGCAGTATGCTTGGGGGGATGTCATGAAGATAAGGACAGCCGTAGTAGATAAAGTAAGAGGACGAAAGTACGTGAATTCAAGGAGCTGATGTGGGTATAATTACTTAGATCCTGCAAAAAGAAGGGTAGTGTACGTATCAGACCATGGTGCAGCAGGAACAATGCCATTCCTCTGAGAGGCAATTCTACATAGACTATCCATAATAAATATAGGGAAAAAAATAGCTGTAGTTTTTCTTTGAAACATTCACATTAACAAATTCTATGTAGTCTCGACAAGAAGGGATTAGGGTTGCAGGCATGTCAAACACTCATTGGCACCCCCTATATTATAGGCCGATCTCAAGGCAGAAGTCCCCCCCAACTAGGAGTCCATGTTTATCAATGCCTTTTTTTATATATAATTAAGAAAAGAAAAGTAATATTTTATTTAATACTGAAAATGTGTTAATATTTTCACATTTCACAAAACATCTTTTGTTGACATTCTATAAATGATACCATCCAGTAATGTTCCAATCCTTTCCTCTTGTGAAGACAGTTTATATATCTTTTTGATTTCTTTAACATTTGTTATTTCAGGAAGATCCTTCAGAGAAACCTGATGGCCATCCACTTGAGATATTAGGTATTCTGGATTTATTTGCTTTTCTCCCTCTTCAATGTAAACAATTAGAACTGAAGTGTCATTTGCTGAGATACCAAATTTTTTCAAAGCCTTTGAGATATTGTTATTTGGGGAAAGGTTGAAAATAATTTCTGTAGAAAGAGTTCTTGTCTTCATTTTTCCCAGTTTGTAGAGCTGAACTGCTTTGTTTGTTGCCACAAGTATCTGAAATGGATCGACAACCACTGTAGGATTTATCAGTGAACCATTAATGGTGCCTTCCATGACCTTTTTCCCCAAGTCTCCAGCATTTTTAACATTTTTAAATAACAGAAGGGTCACCGTGCATTCCAGAAATATGTCCAGCTGATGTGCCAACTGCATTTTATAGATAAGTAGGATTCTAAGGCCGCTTCCCGGTGCATCTCCAAAAATCTCCCCCTCGGATCAATGTCCTTTTTGATAAGTGAGGATGGTAAAGAAGAAGGAAAGATCATTCCAAAAGGAAAAATAAAGAACCACTTTTGGTTGAGTTCAGCCATTTTTTTCTCTCTTTTTGGCATTGTACTGTGTTATTTCTCATAGGAACAGAATTTGAATATAATTAAGAAATGTTCTCTTCCTTCAAGATAAGAGTTATTTGACTTCACTACGGTTATAAACACATGGCAACTTCCCCGTTCCCTTTTTGCCTTCCTGAATGCACATGTTTATTGTGGTTATCCTGTCCTTCTGTTAAGATACATTGGTGTATGTAGGACAATCATTTTTTTAAATTTCATATCTCTTCATATGTGAATAAGCCATGTTTGTAACTTGTGTGTAGATGATCACAATCCTTCCTGTTCAGCCTGATGCTTTAATAACATAAGAATCTGATTTCTTCTTTGGGAGGAAAGGAAGGGGATACATATTCTGAATATGGAAAGTGTGAAATTAAGTATTTGTTATCAAGAGTATGAAAAGTGTTTTATTACATTATTGACACAAAAAAACATTGGCTTTTTTCTAGGTAGTAGAATTATATGCCATATGACTTTTGTCTCCATAACCTTAGGCTTAGTCACACAATGTGCTTTGCTCATGGACCCTAAGCAAAAGTGACATATAACACATTCAGTCAGGAACTTTAAGTACTACCTTTTGGTTGAGCTCATCCTGCTTTCTTTCCTTTTGCCATGCTAGTTGGTATGTTTCACATGAGGGCTGCCCTCTTTGCAGGGAAAATTTACATGGAGCATACATGTACACCATCTCCAAAAGCTGTAAGAACAAGCAGTTACAGTTAAACTGCAGATGGTGACATATAAATTGAGCAAGAAATAAGTATAATTGCAACTAGATGAGCTTTGGGGGTTATTTATTACAAAGCTGAACTGACAAATCTGTCTCGCTATTGTACCATTAAGTATCCTCTATTCTAAACTGCGTCAGATACTCTGAGATAGGGTTGGTTGAATATCAACAGAGAAAATGAAATCTCTGATTTACAGGTTGATATATTTTAACATACTTATTGCTACTGGGAAGTGTGCTGGGATATACAAAGGCAATTAAGATCAAGAAATTTATTATCTAGTATGGAAAAAATTCCCAAATATAATTACTATAGTATATAATTTTATAGTTATTACAATAGAAGTATAATTAGGTTCCAAGGGAATACTAAGAGGTGTTTAGGAACATTACCTCCAAATTTACTATCAGGGTGATCTTATGAAATAAGTTTTCCAAAGGTAATAAGGAAGAGAGGAAATGCTGAAAGGGATGCCTTTCTCTCTATTCTGTTGACCTAACTCTTTAATTTGCTTTTCTGGTTAAGTTAAGCTTTACAGGCCAGATAGTATATTGCGTTAGTCAGTAAGACTGACTAATAGTAAGAAAGATATCTGGTGGGAGGAAAAGACAAAAAACTAAAGGAAGAGTTGGGACTTAAATCCAGCCTCCTATACATCCCTTGAAATACCATGGCAATGCATAATCTATAAAATGAGCTCTGAACTATTCATTTTACCTAGAAACACATTTTTATTCTGGTTTATTTATTAAGTGGGGAAAAAGCAAACAAGCAGACAAAAAATAAGGCCTGATTCAGAGAAAATGTTTTCCCGAGTTACAAAAGAGTGTCAATTTATAACTCCCCCACATTTGGAAGAATTAATGGAATGCATTAATAGCTCCATAGCACAGTTCATTAATATAGTACTGGAAATATTTAATACTAACAAATCTGTCCATTTCTGAGCCAGACAGTGGCACTGCAGAGAAACGTGATGCTCAGTGAGGCTGATCTACCCGGAAAGGCACTAGGTTTGCATCTGGAGACCTCTCTGCATATGCCAGGCACAAGTGTGCTAATAATATCGGCTGGCTGAGGCTGGGGGTGGATTACAACATGAAGCCCCTCTTAGGGTGTCATCTCTCTGTCTCCATGTCTATTTCATAGGATATGTCAACATTAAAAAAACACACACACACACACAAAAATCGTCTAGATTGGACATTAATCAAATACACAACTGCTCTCTCAACATCTTATCTACATGCAGGTGTCCATTGTTAAGTTACCAGATTCACGGCATGACTGCTTACTTGAGTTACACACATCCCTGATACAAAATTATGTTCAGCCTAATCACAGTGTCAGCATTATTCACATACGCCAAAGGTTTGATAAGCTAATTTATAGATTTAAAGAGTTGGAGAGTTTATTATAACCTTTCGCAATCACATCTCTGTAGAGGTTAGGAAATTGAAGACCAGAGAGATTCAATATGTCCTCAGAGATAAAATGGCAATCGGTGATATAGCCAGGCTTCTGGCTTATAATGGCATTCCATACATGGGGGTATAGATCTATACACAGGCTCAGTGTAGCTCCCCTTTTTTATTGTAACGTGAATAGTCACAGGACAGCTCCACTAGGTGGATCCTGACCAGGATAAACCTTGGAGAAGTTCTGACATTTTGTAGCGGTCCTGGAAACTCTGGGCCATGTGTGTGCTGCTCCTACTCCAGGCTGGAAGAGAATGATTTCAAAGTGTTTATTTGTCTGTTTGAAGTAAAGGGACATGTTAACAGAATGTAGTCTCAGAGATTAAAAAACAAACAAACAAACAAAAAATCATGTGGATTTAAATAATTTATGCCTGTTTACTTAAAAGCAACACAGCCATAGCTTATACTTTCCTAAGAATATGTGCATAATGTTATGTATGAGCCATTGATGTGGTGATTTCTAATGCAATGACCATAATTTTTGAAGTTGAAAGAAAGTTTTGGCCTTAAAAAGACTAATCATGACTTGGCATATTTGGGGCATGGATCCTTGACTGCATTATTTGTTCCCCAGCACTAGCCCGTGTCCTAGTCACTATGAGGACAGATGAAATAATGTATGTTAGTCTGGCTCTTTAGTGTTTTATGAAATACAAACCTATTTCCTTCAGAAGACAATGGTTAATTTCAAGGATATAACAGTTCTGTGACCTATGTAAAAATGGAATATAATTTATTTCCTTTCAAGATTAAATAATAGATCTCGTGACCTAACAATAGTCTTGATTACTCTCATAGCTTGTCATTTCCTTTGAAATAAATATGAATTTGTTCCCATTCCTCTGTCTCCTCTGCTGTGTTTATCAACTTCTCTCCAGGCCTATTTTTCTTCCTACTCGGATATTTTCCTTATAGATTTGCTGTGTTCCTCATGGGAATTTTGTACTGAAAACCTCCTGGGATACTGAAGCTGACTGGATAAGCTCCACATATTTGGATGTATTTTGCTAAGTCACCTTAGTAAAAGAAGGATATCACTTCTCTGACGTGTCAATGGTAATCTTTAGATAATATGCTGCTTTCTGGTTTCCAGTCTTGTGTGGCAAGGATACCAAGGTCATGTGACTAAATCATATCCACACAATTATAATTATGTTAGCAATAATGGTAAGAGCTAACTTTATTGTCTATCACATGCCAGACACATTTCAAATCACTTTGCATATGTGTGCCTATGCAATCTTGTTTTTTTTGTTTTGTTTATTTTTTCATTTTATTGTAGGGTGAGCGTGTTTGCCAGAGACAGAAAGCATGGATCTCAGACACCCACACACATGTGCCCAGTGTGAGTTTTAAGTCACTGGGTCTGGGACTTGAACCGGAGTCAATCACATGGGAATTCAGTGTCATAACCATTGTGCCATCTGCAGGTCCCATGCCTACGCTTAGGCAATCTTAATGACAAATCTATGGATTTGGAGCCAATACTACCCTCCAATTTATGAATGAAGCTCTGGGGATTTAAGTAATTTGTCCAAGATGCATAAATACCAAGGGATTATCTATGATTCTGATTTTTTTTTTTGAGCAGGAACTGTGAATTTCAAACACAGTATTTATCTAAGACTTTTCTGGATTCGCTGGTATATAAAGCCAATTTATTCACCTTGAAAACTATTGATTTTAGGTGTACGATGTTACTAGTAATAGAGTACGCCATTACTTATGTTTAACTCCCCAAGTTCTGTAAAAAATATCTGAATCTGCACAACTGCAAATATTCAAAATTTTTAATAAAAAAGTTCGAATGATATCACTGTTGAAGATGCCATCTCCTCCCTTTTCGATGAGACTCAGTGCCACTTCCTTTATGAAATAATCCACACACTGCCTACTGTGGTTCTTGTTACACTGAAACTACATAACCTCGGGACTCTAATTCAGTCCTGGGCAATGAGATATACGAGAGAGAGTTAAAGATACTCGGTGGGTATGAAATCCTTTTGATCAGTGAGAGCTTTTCTTCTGTGTGTTATATATGGAAAAGAATCTTCTTCTTTACTTTGGAGCAAGTATGTTGCAATTGTACAACTTGGAGCTCTCTGAGTATAACCTCACATATTTATAATAAATTCAACACAGTCTAAGAAAAACAAGCAAACAAACAAATGACAGAACAATAGTAGGGTGTGGAGAATGAGGACAATGATAGCAGTAAAACAGAGTCTCAATTTTATATGCATACTACATTTCTTTTTGCCTGAGTGTGGTGAAATTTGATTATTTTCAAGTACAAGTGAAATGATAGGGAAAAGTCAGAACTTTGCTTGTATGGCAACATGAAAATACATGAAAATAAAGCTTAAATTGAAAAGTCACATCAATTTGCTTCCTCTATCAGTAATACTGTCAAAGATTAGTCATATATATCATTAGAAATTGGTAAATATTCCCTTTAGTAGTAGGTGTGACATAGTAGAAAGACTCATCATCAATAGATACATGTATTAGATTTTAATACAAAAACATGTTCTTGAAATAAAAAGGAAAGTATCAAATTAAGGTTAATGTTAAGGTTAAGGTTTTTGTTTTTTGTTATATTTGAA